TGCTTGAGCTTTTGTTGAGCTGTTTCTCTCTTGTTTGAAAGACTTTTGTCTTGTGTAGTGGCTGACTTTTGGGTTTTTCAAGAAAATTACCAAAAAAGAAAATTTTTTAGGAAATTTTTATTTCAGTGGAAAAAGATTTTTTTTCTTATTATTTAAATAGTATAATATTTATTAAAGATATTTGATCAATATAAAATATATTAGTTTTTAAAATATAACAAATTTTTATTAATTACAATTATATATGGTATTTTAATAATATTAATAGTAATAGAAAGAAATTTTTATTAAAATATTATTTTTTAATTAAGTAAGTTTATCAAAAAAGTTAATTATAATATCAAAAAATATGTAAAAAAGTTCAAAATATGATATTTTCATTTTTCAATAAGTTTTTTAGATAATAAAAAAGCTTTTTTTAAAAAGAAAGCCAAAATTTTCAAGTTTCTATTCTAGTCAAACAAAATTTTTAAATTATTTTTTTATTCTAGTTAGTCAAATATTATTGTAATATGGTATTAATATTAGTAATATGATAATAAAGCTATAAATCAATAGAGAAATAAGTTTCTCAAATATTTTTTTTGAAAATTTTCTATTTAGAAATGATCAAATTTTATAAATAGTCTGAAATTAGAAATATCTTAATCAGGTAAATCCCTTTTGAACAAAATTATTTACTTAAATAAGAAACTTTTGAAAGGTTTTAAAAAAATTTTTTTTCTTTTTTCAATATCTTAATTTAACAATTTATTGTTTTTCAAAATAATTTATAATAAAAAACTATAAATAATAATATTTGTAGATAGAAGTCCTAATATCAAATTATTAGGAAAGTAGAATATTGTTCTCTAAATCTAATTTAAAGTATTTAGTTGAGATTTTGATTTGTTTTTTTAGTCTAAACTAGCTTAATAAACTCATATTTTTTAATTTTGTAGTTCTTTAACTAATAATATAAAAAAAAATTGATAATCATGTGAAAAAATATTTCTGAAACTCATTCTACTGATCCTCTAATTACACATAAAAAGATGTTCGCAAGAAATTTTATGCTTCCTTGCTAATAAAATCTTTATACTTTTATTAAAACAACTTAAAAATTGTTTTTACTTATTTCTACTACCTTTTCTTACTTGCTTATAAACTTTTTTAAATAAAAACTTGGATCTCTAATGGCCTGAATAGACTCAAGTATATATTTTCTTTACTAAAAGCAAGAAGATTTTAAGAAGTAAAAGGACTGATAAGTGGGGTGTTATTTTATAGAATTAAAAGTAACAAGAAATAGAGGTTCTACTGGTAAGAGAAGGCTTATTATTTATCTTTTTATATATTGTCTTATACCTTCTTAGAGTGTTTATTGTTTTTTATAATTTTTTTGGAGAAGTTTGCTTACTTTAGTTTGATCTTGAATTTCTGATAGCATATTATTATCTGGCATCTAATTGGTTGATATGAAATATATTAGTAATAAAATATAAACAAGCTTCTATTGGTTATATCCACATGTCTGATAATGTCATTGATGATTGAAAAAGATCATTGGTGTCTCAGTTTTACTTACTTCTTCAATTGGATTAACCTATAAATCAAGTTCTATAAGGTCAATAAAATATGAACAACAAGTTCTCATGTGATAAAAAAGTTACTATTTATTTAAGCTAAGGTCTTTCTTTTTTATCATCTTGGTCAGACAAAGTTCAAGACCAAGGTTTTTTTTTTATTCTTGTCAAACAATAAGACTAAACAATCTTTGATTCATATTAAGCTTCAATCTTTTGATTATAGTTGAGAATGTATTTTTTCAGAAGTTGTTGAAGGATATCATAATCAATAAGGATCTCTATCACTTTTCAGAACCCTTTTACTATTATAAGGCAAAAGAATTGTTAAGGAATCTGATCTTTTGAATAATAGAAGATATATATTAGTAAATTTCTTTAACTAGATATGGCTGCTGAAAGATATTATACTGAAACTATATAACCCAGTTTCTATTGGATTACATAAGAATCTGGGTTCATTATAAGTCATATCTCTATTATAGATGAATAAAAAACTATTTCCTAAAGAAGGTTGGGTTCAAGTGTGTCCTGGAAGTAAAGGTTTCACTAGGTGATAAGTTTCATCAGAAGGTACACAAGAAGGAAATCAAAATCAAAAATAAATAAGTTTATTGGATAGTTAGAAAAAAAAATATCTCAATTGAATATTTCTTATTGAGAAAAGGTCTTGAGAAGCAAATTTATAAAGAAAACTAAAATCTTTTTTTCAATTTTTACTCTTTTATTTTCTTGTCATTTATTTAGACATTTTTAGATATCCTCCTTTTCCTTTTTTTAATCTATCTTTTGTAGTTTCCTGTATTTTAGCAACTTGGTTCAACATATGGTAGTGACAACCTGCTGGCAATGATGCAGTGGACTAGGAAGGTTTTTACCCAAAGATACTGCAGAGTGAAATATTATTCTTAAGGCTGAACTTAGAGGCTTTTATGCTTACAATGAGTTATTTATATTAGAATAATAGTTTGTCTGTAGTATGTATGATACTGCTTAAATGAAAATGTACTTATGTTTTCAATTGATTAATAAACTGATGATTTAGCCTGGCTATGGGTACTCAAAAAAAAACAAGTTGGTAATCATGTGAAATTCCATATAATATTGTAGATATTCATGATGTTTCAATAAAGACATATCATGACACCATGATTGTACATTATGAATAAAAATATAAGAAATAATGGTATATTATTCACACGAAAAATCTCAAACAAGTCTACATTAGACGTAAGAGAAAAATGAGTTATACTCGTCATGCACATTTTACGAACGAAAACGCACCAGAGTATACTTGGTCTGTCAAAAGATAATCATATACAGTAATTCTCGTCCAAGTAATTATTAACAATAAGTTCGAGCAAATTCAGGAAAATAATATACTCGGTTCAATATAATATTGAGTTTCGAAACGGGAATAAAGTACATGCAGAATTCAACGGTTGCCTTTAATCAAAGTTCTTAACAACGATAAATATTTGGTGATTGTGCAATGTAGTCGAGCTTTTATTAATAACCCATTTCATCTTCAAATATTCATGTAATATTGGTCCGTTGTGAAAGGTCATTCCTTATATACTGTAACTTGGATCCTTAATCATATATGTTTGACCAATGAATCAACGTAATGTTCTAAGTGATGTGATATGCTCGTTACTTTTTCCGGATTAATTTAATTTCTTGAATTATTAATAAAAGGTACAGAAATGATGTGATCCTTTGACTTCTATCCTTAACTGCAGTCATTTTTCCAGGCGTACAGGTTAATCTTTCCTTATATTTTAATGAACAAATTATTCGTTATACAGCATTCTAAATAACATTTGTGTGCACTAGAAAATGATAACTTTGCATTTCTAAAATTAGACGCAAAATACGTATGTGCGATCACTGTTTAATCGAAATGATCAAAGTCCTCTAAGAATAATTCGATAGATCCTGTGATTTATTTATATTAGCTAAAAAATAAAAAAAAAGAAAGAAAGCCATGAATAGAAAAAATTTAATCTGGATAAAATAGCTAATTAGCACAAACTATTACAGTATTACTTATATTTCAAGTATAGTATATTATAATAGTTTCGGTTATACTTTTGCTATTATATTTAAATATCACTATCTTTGTCTTTTTAATTGTAATCAAATACTAAGCTTTCTTTTTATTATCTTTCTCATTGCCGGATTCCTCTTTATATAGTTAATCAATGCATTCGAATAACATTTCCAAATCCTCATTGTCAGAGGAAGCTTCATTCCATATTGTATCGGCCACCCTTTTGATTATATGGATATTATTTACAACAATTTCCTTTGGAATTATTCTCTCTACTTCACAAATAACATTCAATTCCATTAAAGTTCTGGCATTCATAGTTATTATTCTCTCTACTTCACAAATAACATTTAATTCCATTAAAGTTCTGGCGTTCATGGTTCTTTCACTAATATTAAACCGATTGTTTATTTCTACTGGATCGCGTAATGCTGGTGGGATAATGTTGCTAATATTCATATGGTCACGTAAATATTTGACGAACTGGAAGTCGTTATTCATAATACTGATATTATGAGTTTGTAGTTAATAATAGTAAGCGACCATGAAACCTTAAAAGGTGAGAAAATAATGATATAATATTTGCCGGTTATTCCTTAATTTCAAAATTTAAATAGGTCTTTTGACGGTTAGTCGAATTTTGGAAACGGTTTTCAATGAGAAAGCATTTCTTATTTATGCGTAGATTTATAAATCCACAATTTTCATATTACTAACAAATCATAGGCAAGATGATTATTAAAAAACGAAATAAAAATAGAATGATAAATATAGCCTGGTATATGTAACATATGCCTTTTATTATTCTTGGCGGCGCATAAAACACAGTTTAAAGTTTTTTTCCTAAATAAATGGGAATGTCTCTTGTGCGCTTCATTTTCAACATATTTAGCGAGATTACTTTAATACTATAAAGGATAATAAGAAAAAACCGTTTAAACTGGTTTTAAACGGATTTTAATTTAATGATATTAGATACTGTACCTACTTCCTTACCTTTTTTAAATCGGTGTTTTACTCGAGAACTTAATTTGTATAGTATTTGCATTTCGATATATACCAAATAATGCTAGATTTCTAATTAATCGAGAGTTTGATATTGTACCACATGCAAACATAAAGGAATGTCGACTAAAAAGATGGCGCAGTTCATAGTGAATTTGTTTCATAACATTTCTGATTAGGAAAATCTTTTCTTCCTTTAGGTCATTTATAGCGCGTGTAACTTTAAGCTTTTTTTTGAGAATTACGTCACATACATCGCGTGCTCAAATTAAAATTACGAAAGGGCGCACCGACCAATTACAAAATAATGGGCAAAAAATCGAGTGTCTCCGAAATATGACAACAAATAATGCTTAATTTGTCAGGCACAGTAACCATACCTTGTTGCACAGTTTGTTACATACGTCGCTTGAATAATTTCTTTTTTCTTTCTTTCTTTCTTTTTTGCTTTTAGGTGATTACGGGTGCACTCCGAATTTATCCTTTTCCTGACAGAAGTTATCACTACGTAATACGGTAAGATTATCGAAATCTAGTGTACGAGTTGATCCTTTTTTGGTACGATGACAGTTACCAGTTGCGCCTTTAAGATCCGGCGGATAAATTTTGTTTTCTATAAAAGGCACATTACTACTTGATTCCTTTTTTTTATTTGTACTTAAAAAGAAATATCTCAAGGCATCGGTAAACTTTCTCGTATAATATTTAATAATATAATTACATGGTAATAATACACGATGGATATAGTACAACACCACAAGATGGCTTGGTGTTAAAAAACAACAATAATTTTTTTACTGGAAGAAACACCCGTGTAGCATCATTTCGCTGAGATTCACCGGGGTGGTTTGTACTTGCATAGAATCGGATGAGAATGTCGACCCTTGGTTAACATCATACTGTTCTTCTTGAACAGGGTCTGGCAAGGGGGCGACCGGTTCTGCAGGAATATCTGTGGTGGTTTGTTGCTGTGGAGATTGAAAAACAACGACTAATACGACTTCGACTTCTCGATATTGTGTTTCTTGAAAACCTTGAGGAGGGATGGTTAGTCGTACAAGGATAACAGCGGCATCTGGTTGCTGTGAATCTTGAAAAGCGACCATCACGTCTGATGGCTGTTGTGCTTGCTGGAAGTCTTGGGGGGTGGATTGTGAGCGAGAGATTGTTTGGAGAAGATGCTGAACTTGTTGATTATTGCTCATGCTTGCTTGTGAATACTGTATTGCGAATATTGAAAAGGCGCTGTTATGTTTTATATATATACTGTAACTTGTACTATCGAAGAAACAAATTTTATATAATTGAGTTTTGTCAAGCAGTTTAAATATATATTTTTCTTGACGAAAAGGGAATATAATCAAAGATGGATCAACGTGAATCTTTCTTGTGTATGAAACCTGTGAGAAAAACTACATTACCAGTTTGTCACAGGATATATCTTTCTTTCGGACAAACATAAATGTTAGATCTTTTAAATAATGAAAAAAGATGTCATTTCGCTGTCGATCTCTCTTTCTGCGGACAAATTAAAACGTGACAACTGGAACAGTTTAGCTAATAATAAATACGTATATAAAATATAAAATGCATTGTTTAATAAAATATTTTAAAAACTTATGTAATTATAGTTATTGATAAAAAATTTTAATTTCAATTTCAATTATATTATAATCAAATAATTCATTTTATTAAATAAAAGTTTATAAAGTACAAACTTTGCAAAAAAAATGATGTCAATATTTAACGTTCAAATTAAACTTGCCGCATGAAAACAAATGCAAGATCCATTGCCAGTTATTTATTACGTTATCTTGAATGTCGGAAATATGCCAAGGTTGACATTCTTCAAATAAAGCTAATCTCCGAAGCATGTTCGACTCAAAAAAAAAAAAAAGAAGAAATAAAATTCATTTATATAAATAAACAAATACGCCATGAAGTAAAGGTCAAATATCAATCAAGTAATGCATAACATAAGTCATTTAATATTGTACTTTTGTGCGTAATATTTTTAAAAAGAAAACTTTCTTAATTCAGAGTAAAGGGATTTAAAAGTACGAAATACGTAATTCAATTACGCTTTTATTACATCACACAATTTGTTGAATGACTCAATAGTACCTTAATTGTGAGCTTTGTATAAAATACACAAATCAATTACTTTATTATATAATAATATAGTGTTCGTGCGTTATTACTTGGAGAAGTATTTACAGTATTTGATATAATATAATTGAATAAAAAAGGATATATTAAATGATTACGGTAAGCGTTTTTAAAAAAAAAAAAAAAAAAAAAAAAAAAAAGGAAACACGCTAACAAATACTCTTTATCAAAATATTACGACGCCAAATAATGTTGTTTATCATGAGGGGGTTGCAATTATCCTATTTGAGACTCTTGGCGCGTCCAATATCAGGAGATTTTTTAACGCCAGTATTCTATATACGCGTTCCGGTGATGGCACTTAAAAATTTCCTTTGTGTAACAATAATATACAAATTTCACTCAAGAATTGTTACATCGCACAAAACGTAAATGTTAATATAGCAAATTTTATACGCCAATGGAAACACAAGAATTACTTTCTTCTCTTTTTTTTTCTTTTCTTTTTTTCTTTTCTTTTTTTCTTTTCTTTTTTTCTTTTCTCTTTTCTTTTCTCTTTTCTTTTCTTTTTCTTTTCTTTTCTTTTCTTTTTCATTTCATTTCTTTTTTTACCATTAATAACCGATATTTTCAAATGTTATCCTTCAAAATAAGTCGAGTATGCTTCGATAAAAATAGCTCCGAACATTTCTGTGAAACAAAAGTTACTCTTAAAGCTTAAATTTAGCCTTAAACGAACTCATTGATTATAATGTTTTGTTGCACAATCCTGGAATTAAGAAACAATATATAATTTATTTTTAAATATAATATTTTTACAATTTAAAAATCCTAATCAATAACTTAAAGATTTTGTATAGTAGAAAAGTTTATTTTCTATTTTGTTAATTGTTTTAATTCTAATAGAACTTTATTTTTATACAGTATTTTTAAAGAATTTATTTTAATTTGATTTTGAATTTTTGAATAATACAATTCCAATTAATCAATATAAAATACATTAATTTCTAAAAAATAAATAAACTTTTATTAGTTATAATTATATAATTTGCATATCAAAAAAAACTCTTTCCCAAAAAATTTTCAAAAATCGAAAAAATTTCCTTTTTTAACAAGAACATAAAAATAAACTCTATCTCTGCTACCAAGTAGCAACTGGTCCAAGATGGCTTCCATGAGGAAATTAAAAAGCCTTGAAAGGCAGATTATACAGAATACAACAATGATAGAATCAACCAAAACAATGAAAAAACCCTGAAACTCAAAATAACAACTTCTTCCTTGCAGCTCAGACACACACCACTAGGAATCAGAATGGCTAGCCAGAAGAAACCACTGGACAAAAAGAAAGAGAAGGAAGACGGAAACCAAGTAAACAGAATAGACATCAAACCAAACAAACAAGAGACAGAGAAGGAGAACAAAACCAGCCTCAGAATCAGTAGAGTACCTTTACTGGACACAGTAAACACTATCAAGGATGAAGTAATTCCAAATACCACAGATAAAGAGAGCAGTCCAAACATCACCAAACAGACCAGATGCAGTTATGAAAATCAGGATAACAAACAAGGAACCTCCACCACCTCTCAGAAACACCAAGAATATCAAGAGACTCTTAGGCCAAAGAAAGCCTTCATTGATCCAGACCTAGTTCCTGGACAAATAGCCAGGAAAAAAATGGAATTCATCAGACAGAAAATGGCATACCTCCCCTCCCTAAAATATGTGAGGTACGAATACCCAACCGGAAAATAACAAATTGCTACCATTTTCGGCAATCAAGAGGAAGTATACATGACATGTGAAACGAAACTCACAATGAATGAAAATACCAAATTCAGGAAGATCGCTCCTCTCGAATCCCAAGAGAGTAACTCCCGCACAATCAGAGTATGGGACATCCCCCTACATTTTACCAAAACGAACCTAGCAGAATTCTTCAATGAACAAATAAACATCAACTATATTGCCCTATAGAAAGCTGGTCCATTTCAGATGACAAATATCACATTTTTCAACACCTCTGACTATGTAGAGATCAGTCAGGAATAGTCATTCACCTAAGGATACTACTCATATAGGATATTCCCATTTTATAAAACTCATGAAATCAAAGAAGAAAGAGAACACTACAGCACTACCCTTACTCAATTACTACTTGACACAACAGTATCTGACTTGATAGTAATCACCACAAGCACAAGAGCAAAATCAGTATACATATCTTGGGACAACAACAATCAGGCTAAAATGTTCGCCATCTTTACCTTTCAGTCCAGAGAAGACCTCCAGGTAGCTAGATTATCAGTCCCCCTAATAAGAGAAACACAAACACAATAAGTCCAACGAGAGACCCCCTTATACTGTATCTGTGACTCACCAGAACACAATATGTACTCATGCCCTGACAAACCAGAGGTATTCCTACTGAAACAACATATAAACAGGTCGAACAACCCCAGGATCATTATGCACTAAGGCAGCAGAAGGACTCCCAACCAAGATACACAAAGGCATTCCAACACCAGAGACAATCCAAGGAGCTATGCAAACATCCTGAAATACGTACAAAGACTGGAGGACAGTTAAGGATATAATGCCATCTTGAATATACTATCATTAATCCAAAAGGAAATAAAAGAAATGAAGAATGATCTGAAAGATCTGGTGGAAAGGATGGATATCCTAGAACAGGAATGTGCAAACAGGTATTTCAAAAGTATCAACGAACTCATGGAGAACTTGGAAGAGGACACAAACATTCACAGCATGGAGCAACCAAGAGCCTCCAGCAACAGTATCCAAGACATAAAGAGATCCCAAGAAGCATACCAACAACAACTGAACAGAATAAGTGTAACAATGGAAGAGATGATCAACCTCGTGAAATTATCACAACAGACAGTCTCAGAAGGATGCAATTCAACATATTAACATGATAGAGAGTAATACAACAAAACCCCAAAAAGGGGAAAGCAGCAAACAAAAAATCCCAACACCGCCTAAATGAACATTAACCACAAGACTACCTCATAGGAAACAACACATCACAGGACAAAGCCAAGGACATAAAGAAAGGAATGACACTGTTAATCATACATTATGGATAATTATAACACATAACATCAGAGAGATAATGGAAGACAACAAACAGAACTTCTGGCTGAAATACTGCACAGAGAAAGATTGAGTGATTATTATCACAATAGAAACCAACAGAAACAAATAGCAGATTAAACACTGGAAACACGACAAGTATCAGTTGATCACATCAATCGATGAATACCAAAAGATAAGACATGAAGTGAACATAGCTATACATAAGGACATCGTGATTAGGATATTTAGAAAACAAGAGATTAAGGGAAGGACCATAGCAATAGACATGGCATTCCCAAGGAAACACAAAATCAGGATCATAGAAGTATACCTCTCACCAAGAAGCAGCAACAATAGAAACAAGACAGAAATAGAAAACACAATACAGGAATGGATAACTCAGGTAGAGAGGATGAACGCACATATCATGATAAGTGGAGACTTCAATGACACTTTCAACCCAGCCATGGACAAATGGAATCTTCATAAACAACCAGATAGCTGCCAACCAGAGTCAAAGTTGCTAGAGTGGCTAATAACCAAGAACTTCATAGATACATTCAGAATGCACAACTCAATACAGAAGAAATCCACATGGAGCAACAGCAGAGGAACATATAGTAGAATCGATCAAATATGGTATCAACCACAAGAAACCTGGCAAACTAGGAGCTCACACATAATAGACCATCCAGATATCTTACACAAAAGTGATCATAAAATAATGATTACCAGAGTGGACACATGACAACTCAATTTCAACAGTCATCAGAAGATCCATAAAAGCAACTCACGGTACAACTGGGGCAAAACAAACACCAAACAGTGGGAAAAATTCAAGAGCACCATTGAAGACAATTTAGAAACTGGGAATGTATTAGAACAAAAAGACATAGAAGGCAAATGGAACAGACTCAAACAAGCCCTCCTTACAGCAGTAAGACACCACATCCCCAAGATAAAATCCAAGAAGAGGAACAAGAAACCGGGAAAA